CAGAACCTAGAGCCATAGCTTCCAATGTTAAGGTGCAGAACTTAGTGCCATAGCTTCCAATGTTAAGGTAGCAGAATCTAGAGCCATAGCTTCCAATGTTAAGGTGCAGAACCTAGAGCCATAGCTACCAATGTTAGGTGCAGAACTTAGAGCCATATCTTCCAATGTTAAGTTGCAGAACCTAGAGCCATAGCTTCCAATGTTAAGGTGCAGAACCTAGAGCCATAGCTACCAATGTTAGGTGCAGAACTTAGAGCCATATCATCCAATGTTAAAGTACAATTTTCTTACATTCTAATATTTGCTTCAGAAAGATACGAATCTTCACTTTCATTCTCACTTGTGTAACTTCAACTTCCTCTAATGCATATATTTATATATGTAAAATATCTGATTTATCACAACTCCAGCTCTTTCATGTGAACCATAAACATGTAACCAACTTGTCATTTTACTTCTTCCAGTGTGATCGATGACGGTATCTTTAAATCCCTTCAATGTTCGTCCTGTGTTTTGTCGCCATAGATAAACAGAGAAGTAGCACACTCGGGTTACTCATCTTTGAGATCCAATGGCTATTGTAAGGAGCCTAACGTAAAGTATTGTGAAGAGTTAGGCATATTATGTGTATCAGAGAAAGAACTTGATAACTGTTCTGTTCTTTGCGTTCAGTAAAGAACTGCTTTTGAAAGAGTCTTGTGTTTCTGTGACTACACCAGACTTCTAGTGGTAAGCTTTGGTGTAGCTACAAGGTCTCTATTAATTTTTTCTTTTAAGTTTTATTTTGATTTGTACTTTTGTCATCATGCAATTCATCAACTTTTAATTTCAATGCCTATTGTTTTTATTGTTTATTTGCTCAATTATTCGAAAAAGATATCAATGTTTCTATTTGTTACATGTCCCCAAATCACAAACCTTGAGCATTCACATCGATCTTACTACTTCCTAAGAACCTCTTGGAACCTGTTGGCCATTAGCATAGGAATTATCACACTTCCAAATCACGAGAAAAAATTGCACGTTAAGTCTCAACAAAGAACCATTTTGTGTCCTGCATGTTTCAGTTCGCCAGCTCATATACCTTGAGTATCCACATCGATCCTAAAACTTCCCACGTGGTTACTGAGAGTAACTGATTACGAGATCAAGTAAGAGCAAAAAAGAATCTCGATATATCTTGGGAAACTACTTGCTGTAGAGGGGGGGGGGGGAAATATTATTTTCATAGTGATAGAAATGTAATATGGAAGAGTACAGCCTCAAATAATTGTATGAACACTTAAAGGTGCAGATGCTGTACCCTGTCATCTCTATAACCCACACTAGAATTCTAAGGCAAGAGACTCTTCATAATTTACGTAATGCAAAAATTAGAATATACCAGTGAGTGTCCTGTACTATGGCTAATCTGTAGAGATGATTTTACTGATCACATTGCGAGAAGAATGTGGAAATATAATGTTAACTCTATGCTATATGTACTTCCCAGAGAAAAAGCCTGCCATGTCAATATATGCTCTCAGGGAAAAAAAGCAGATTCCTCTATGTAATTAATAGTCGCAAACATTGAAGGATATTTTCCAGGAACAGGTTTTTGTTTGTTTTAGAACAAAGCTACAGTAGACTATCTGTTGTATCCAGTGCGGGGAATCGAACCCCATATTTTAGCGTTGCAAGTCCGTAAACTTATCACCGTCCCACCAGGAGATTACAGAACTGTTCCTGATAAATTAGCTGAACAGTGCCTCATACCTCACCTGAAGAAATTGGAGAAATACACATACACAAAGAGATCAAGGAGCAAAATAACTCTCTGCTGTTTTTTATGAACTAGTGCAAGAGTTATGGGTAGTGAAGTCATATACTTCACGTTACTATTCTCAATCTTTCGGTCTGACTGAAAGAACGTATGAAACATCGAACAGATACTCTAGGTTCAATACAGACTGTCTGGGATGTTCCCTTACCACATGTCAACACAATATACAGGCCAAAAGAGCAACAGTGTGCTGATTTTATCATATGACACTATAGCGTATTGGGCAATACACGAAAAGTACATTGATTGGTTCCCAACCTTTTCCATGTTTGAAAGAAAAGTTAATATTTTCTATGAAGTTGATATACAAGTCTACACCTACCGGAAATATTCCACAATATCATCACCAATATGTTGAGTGATTGCTTACTGCCATTAATAGTGCACATAAAGAACAGTCATGGTAGCCTCATTGATCTACAGCATATCATGGCGAGATGTAAATGGTCCTAACTAGTAGTTATGACAGATTAGATAGTGACTGAAAGGAGTTGATTTTCCTTACTGTTTTTAAGCTACCTACTGAGATGAAGCAGTACTTTTACAGTTCATACTACCTCTGTGTGAGGTATGGTGTGAACTCATGAACACTTTATGAGTTACTAAGTACTATTCCATATTAAAATCAGCTAAAATAATTAATGATAGCTAATCGAATAAACTAATCAACATATCATGGTATATAATGGCTGTAGACGGCTTGAATGGGTAATGAAGAAAAACTTTAATATAAGTTTAACATAACAGCAAATGTACAACGTTTCGACAAGGTTTTGTCATCATCACCTATTATTTCCTAATAGCTCTTTACGTATTTGTACATATATATGTACCTAAAATAAATTGTCGAGACGGCTGATATGGATAATATTAGCACAAATATATACAAAATCATAATCTAACGTGAACATGGTAACTATGGATTTGAGCTGTGTATAAGTTATTGATGCAATGAATGTGATCCTATAGTAATGCATGGATTTGTTTTATTAACAATGAGAGAATAAAATCCCAAAGGAAACTTTGATTAAATATATCGCAACGATGCCTGACAGACTGTCTGCTGTTATTAAACCAACAATGCCTGATAGGCTGTCTGCTGTTATTAAACCAACAATGCCTGATAGACTGTCTGCTGTTATTAAACCAACGATGCCTGACAGACTGTCTGCAGTTATTAAACCAACAATGCCTGATAGGCTGTCTGCTGTTATTAAACCAACAATGCCTGACAGACTGTCTGCAGTTATTAAACCAAAAGGGGGGGGGGACACACAAAATATTAACTATTTGTTGAACTCAAGCACTTCCACTGAGTTTCTGATGTACTAAATATGAAGATTAATAAAATGTTGATGTTTCACCTGTGATTTACCTTCCATTGTTCTTTGAAATTAGCCTGAAATCTAATTTTTGACTTTATCCTAACACTTTTGCACAGTACTGTATATACGTTTGACTTGTAATTAAATTTAAATGCCAATACAAATAATAATGTATATGGTAACTCTAAGTTGTGCAATAGTGTAGTAGACACTCCTGTAATAGTAGCGAAGGTTAGTGTAAGACCGTTCGTATAAGTACATAGGTTTCCCATGTTATTGGTTTAAAATGTTATATAGTTGCAATGTTCAGAGATATGAGAGGGTGTTTTTTGTTCGTTGAACCTGGTTTCTATTTTTCTTTCGGCAATGGAAAATTCGTGTGCCGTTTTCACATTGCATTTTGTAAAATGGTATCGGTGTTGTGTTTGTCTGAATAGTTGTCAGAGAGTATGGATTTTATTTTGATGCTCGGATCTGAGGTAAAGTTAATGGTTAGAGGAATTTTGAGTTTAAAAGCAAGTTTTCTGAAAATGTTATATAATTTTGTCACAAATTTCTGGAATATAAGTTATGGGGATCTAAGTGTCTAGGATGTAAGTTATGCAGCGGTATATTTGCTTTTGGCTGTTTCATTAGACTTTGAATTTTGGTTGTACTGTTTGAGAATTCTGGGCATAATGTTTTTCCAGTTTTTTAAAATATGTTTAAGTCAATAAAAGGTTATTTTAGTGGTTAACTTCGTAATTGAGGTTGTTTGGTGAGCATGTCAGTGACTACGTTAATTAGGCTTTTTTGTGTATGTTAAGTTTTCGTTTTGTTTCATGTGAGAAGACCAGATAATGTAGAGGCCAGTATGAGTGCTGTTTTTTGTGAATTTTGGTTTTGAAATATGTATCGTTTCTTGTGATAATGAGGTTGAGAAATGTTAATTTGTTTTGTTTTTTCATGTTGGATGGTGAATGTAATGTGGGGATACATGGAGATGACGTCGTTGACAAAATTATGTGTATGTTCTGTAGAGGTAAAACCCATAAATGTGTCGTCTACATATTTGTACTTTACAAGAATCGGTGAGAGGTGTTTCCCATGTTTACACCATTGATTTATATATATAGTTCTGTTTGTTGAACATAAAAGTAAATTTAGTGGTGTTACATTCTATGAGAATAGCTATTTTTGCTGGTTACAATATGTAATAGTTCTTGTTGTCATTAATAGGAGGTACTTTTCATAAAGTACAGTGCACGTACGACAGTCCGTCAGCAATTGTAATGCCTGTTTTATGACTATAGAAAGTTTAAGCTCAGTTTTCGTAACAGTTAAGTTTCCCTCTACTTTGCACTTTCGTCCCTTTCTGAAGCATCGAGTTTCAGTTTCACCGTTCTTTACTGTTTATTTTTACATCCGTTCGATAAACATGTGAACGTTTTTATTCATTGCATGTCACCAGATCACACACCTTGTCCACATCGATGTTACTACTTCGTTAGTTATATGGAGATAGTGCTACCTGTTGTTTTTATCCTAATAGATTATCACCCTTTCAAATCACGGGAAAACTTCATGTTAAATCTCAACTAGAATATATTTTGGTTATTATCAGGAGTGATTCATAAAAGCATGGTAACACTTTTATGAAACATGTCAATATAAAAATAAATGTAATTGTACATATATATTCCGAATTTCGAAGCCATTTCATATGGTTTGTTTTCGCGTTTCATGTATATTATTCATGTATATTAATTTCGCGTTTCATGTATATTATTTTCGCGTTTCATGTATATTATTTCCGCGTTTCATGTATATTATTATAAGTAATTATTTATTATTAATATTTTCCTGCTCTCTAGAAATGTGGACATGGTTGGACATCGATGAAGGGACGAGTAGCTTTTTGGTTTACCTTGAATCCTTTGACCTGTGAGGGTCTAGTGGTCTTTAAACTTTTTGGTCAGCAATGTGATAGGTGTAACAGTGAACGCTACGAGCACGCCATGTGGTATCCAGAGGAAGTTATAAAAGTCAGTTTTTTTTATTTTTTGTTCTTTTATTTTTCAGTTAAAACGTTAATTTTCAACAGCTTCTAGTTTTTTCGAGAGAGCGAAATTAATTATTAGTGTTATTCTAAATTTTATCTTTTTTGTATATTTTGGAAAAGCAGTTACCTATTTACGAATAATTTACAAACTTCATTTAATATGATTCTGGAAGACTTTATGAAATTAATTATGTGGTATTATATAATTAAACATTTTTAAAGGAACAGTCAAAGAAAACTTTAAAATTCCATTTCTCTAATGGAAATTAGAAATACTGTATGTATCGTCTGCCGATGGAAAGATATTCCCTTCAATTAAGTTTATTCAAACTGATTTATTTTGGTAAGGTATTCACCAGAATTAGATAAACCCAGCCAAGACTTAAGAAATAAAGTTAGCAATGCCATTCAAAAAACCATTGTCAACAATCACTGAACACTTTTTTCATTGATTAAAGGTATTTGGCGATAGCAATAAAATATGACAATATTGTGTGTAACTGTTAAAAAGTTAATGAAAAACCACAGTAAATGGAACAAAGTATCAGAAGAAGATTTTAAATCAGAGAAACTAGTTTTTTCACTAGCTTTCTGGGTGTTATTCGTGTTTTTTATTTTGAAATATAATATTTTAAGAAATCAAAAGTGACTGATGACACCTGAATTTTAAAATTATGTCATTGCCAAACTTTTGAAAATGAAATTATTTTGTTATTTTACAGGTAAAAGAAAAAAGAAAAAATATGCAATATCTAAGACGATTTTTAAGTTTTTAATACGCCCTAGGCCAGGTTAATTCGAATGCCATATTATCTGTTTACTTTCATTTTACAAACTATATTGCAACTGTGTTGAAAGAGAACTTGGCGAAGAACCTATTTCATCTTGTATAAAAAAAATCTCAATTACTTATGAATTTTTTATAAAGAGTTTGACAACATTAATAAATTCATATAAATTATTTTTGACCATTTGAACAAAAAAAAACTTTATCAAAACATCAATGTATGATGCTCCTAAATGTTCAGTATCTTTTTTACTTTACCATGTAGTGGTATACGTTTTGTATGTTAAAGACACGCCGTACTTTTTATATTCTACTTTTATGAAACTTAGCAACAAAAGTACTGTGATTGTAAGCGAAGTTCTTCTCTGACAAAACATGACATTCCACTATCGAGGTTCTTCTCTGACAAAACATGACATTCCACTATCGAGGTTCTTCTCTGACAAAACATGACATTCCACTATCGAATTTCTTCTCTGACAAAACATGACATTCCACAATCGAATTTCTTCTCTGACAAAACACGACATTCCACTATCGAAGTTCTTCTATGACAAAACATGACATTCCACTATCGAAGTTCTTCTCTGACAAAACATGACATTCCACTATCAAAGTTCTTCTCTGACAAAACATGACATTCCACAATCGAAGTTCTTCTCTGACAAAACATGACATTCCACTATCGAATTTCTTCTCTGACAAAACATGACATTCTACTATCGAGGTTCTTCTCTGACAAAACACGACATTCCACCATCGAAGTTCGTTTCTTAATATTTGAAAATGCAGTGTTAGCGCGCTCGTCATCTCATTTTCTTAGCTCATGGTAATAGTTTCTAATATTCTAAGTTGAATTATTCCGAGAATGGATGCGAAAAAACAAAGAAAAACTGGAGGTTAAGCACAACATCCCATTCATTTAGACGTAGATCAGTAATACCACTCGTGTTATAGGTTTTAGCGTCACAGTGATATTTTATTAGACTGCAGAGCCCCCTACTGGTTGATCTAATGTATCCATACACCTCAGGCACGTGTACTCATATACCACTAAATTCAATGAATGCTTTATATTTTAACTTGGAATCTGATTTCAAGACTAGTTTTAACTTAACTTGTGACTATAGCTGTTTGATACCTTTCCTAACTTTCATCTTAATCATGTATGTAACAGTGTCTTTGTAGGGTATGACAAAAGTAACCGTTTTCTTTGGAACACCTGACACAACAACGGATGGGGGTATTAGATTAGTTTTTGTTATGGGTGTGGATTATTCTATTTAAGAAAGACAACGGTAAACAATTTCTTTACTTTTCTCAACTTTTCCTTCAAAAATATTTTGATTTTTTTTTGATATCGTAAAGGCTTTTCATAACATAATCTAAGCAGAGTTTCTCAACTTCTGCTTCAAAACGTCTCGATTTCCTAACATCTTTAAAGTCTGTATGACAGGAATTTAACCATATTTTCTTTCAAATTTTATCGAGTGAAATTCAAAATGTGAATAAAGTCCAGTGAAAGTCGGTTTATAATACACTTTAGTAGTAAGTATACCCTGATTATTTAAGACTTGAGCATCTAAGAACGAGTGTTGACAATTCCGTTGATTTTCAACATTAGAATAGATATTTGGATGCTTACCATTTAGAAGTTAATGAAATAAGCGTTGACAACCACCCACAAAGTACCGTTAATGTATCTCCAGTAATGATCAAAACATGTACTAAATGTTTTAAAAGTACGTATGTTGTAGCTTCTCTTTAATGTATACGTATGTAGTAATACGGGTTCTAATTAAGTGAATAAATTGTTCTTCTTTATATTATTGTAGGTTTTAGCTAACGTTTACAACCGAATCGGGCAGGTTTACTACGGTTTTTATCAACCTCCAATACACAGAAGCCGCCGACCAGGGAAGCCTCGAACGCCTCACAACAGTAATCTATGTCAGGCTTGTAAAAACAGCGTTTGTACAGAACGAAGGTGATAATTTGTTTCCAGTGAAAACCAGAAAAATAAATTCATGAACTTTAATAATATTGATACTTAATTTCCGTGCGATGCCACTAAAGAATAATATATCATTCTGAAAACTCAGTGAAATTATTAAAAAGAAAACGTCTAATGATGTCTTATTTTTTATTACTTTTCTTTTGGACTGTATCCGGAAGTTTAGAAGATCATATAATTATATACAAATTGTGTATTTTAACGTTTGTAGTTTTGAAAATTATTTTTTTTTAAAAAGGTGTACAGTATAATGATTTTTTAAATAATAATTATTTGGGTTTTATTTCTTTTTTTATACTTTCCATCATTGATAACTAATTTCTGAACAAGAATATAGAGTGGAGAAATAATACTTTTAATGACCTGGAAGAAAAACCAGTAAGATTTGATTAAAAATTTCTCTTCTACAAATTGCACTGTGAACTAAAGTGGATGAATACAAGAAAAGCCTACTCAAGTTGATCCCGTTGTGCACTGAATTAGAAACTATGTTCCCATTGACCAAGGACTGTCGCGTTACCGCGCCACCTGTAGATCTGATATACCCTGATTTTGCATCCTGCTGCTGCCAAAACAAATAGCATTCAGTATTTTGAGGCCGTGAATGCGTTATAAGAGTAACGGTAAAGTCACACAATTAAGTATAACATTGTAGCCCATTGAATTGGAAGTGGTTGGCGTTGACCAGCTGCCTTCCCTCTAGTCTATCACTGCAAAATTAAGAACGGTTAGGTCCAGTTAGCTATGGTGTAGCGTTGCTCGAAATTCAACAAACCAAACAAATTTTCTCTAAATACCTGTTTATTTAAAGCTCAAACATTAAGGTTTTTATATTTTAGCTGTAATTAATAATACACAAATTATTATAATTCTGTTGCGATTGGTAGATTGTAATTTCTAATTAAAGAAGTGTCTTATTCTATGCTCATTATAGTCTATTCTTTATTTGTAAGCTTTACGCAGAATTTATTGCTTCGTAAGTTATTTACTTTCATTAACTCAAAAGCCTCCGCACTTCAACTACTGTCTTATGTTAATCCTTAAGGATATCTATAGTAGTTTTGTAACTTTTGTACTTTGGAATAAGTACTTTTACATGTGACCTGGGATGACCAGGTAGTTAAGGCGCTCGACTCACAATCTGAGGATCGCGGGTTCGAATCCCCGTTCCACCAAACATGCTCGCCCTTTCAGCAGTGGGGGCGTTATTGTGTGACGGTGATGGTAAAAGAGTAGCCCAAGAGTTGGCGGTTGGCGGTCTTTCGCTGCAAAATTACGGATGGCTAACGCAAATAACCATGGTGTAGCTTTGCCCAAAATTTTAAATAAGGTTATACATGTATCGAATTGTATCAATGCTGTTCAAATTAGTGCCGTTGCTTCACCAGACGTTAGCTAAACTCGAACTCCACAATTTATTGTGGTTTTCATACTGATGAGCTTAAAGCAGCTTTAATGCTTCTCTTGATAAAAACATTGGTAATTTTAAAACTTTGACCTAAACCTGAAACGGTGATTTATACTTAGTCAATATAGATCTCGATAGCGTCATTCTCTAGCTTGTTCACGCTCAAACATGTTCATAGCTAAAATACGTGAACAGGCGGGGAAAGTATCCTTAAGAATGTATACTTACACACGAGTAGCTTGTCTGAAACCAGTTAATCAAGTAATAGATGTCTATATACGCGTTCTTATCTCTAGCAGAGAGGGAGTTGAAACTACAAAATGAGCAATATTTAAAACTTTCCAAAATATAGAGGTTTCACAAGTTCAGCAGCAATAAACTGCAAACTCGAGATTTGTGTGTGTATGAGTAGCACGAAGATACGTTTTGATACGACAAAGGGTATCGTAAGATAGATACACAGGAGTTCATGCACTTTAGAAAACATTTGTTTCAATATTTCATTTTGATTGTGCTCTTCACAAATAGCATCAGTATTCGTTACCTTTCTGATAGAAGAGGTCAGGTAGAGCATGCAGTTGCGATTGTATCTTAATTAAGTCAACATGATTTTTATAGAGCGATGAAAGAGATCCTGATACTTAAAAGTCTTCTCTGTTATCCGCACTAATGAAAAGTTTTTCCGTATCTCGAACTATCTGGAAGTTTTTCTGGTGAAACCGCCTGATGATATCTACTCTTACGACATTAAGAACTTGAAAGTACTGATGACAGAAGTAAGATTCGACATTACTGTATTGATGATTTTCAGAAGCATCTTTTTTTATTTTAGCTGGAATGCGTTGATGTCGCGACAATACAGCTAGTTTAATAACTCTATTAGATGTCTCAAGAATTTGCTGGTAGGACACAGAAAACCTTTCATCTGTTCTGTGTCGAGCGATGAAATTGATAAAGTTTGAAGAAATAATTGATGTATTCCCAGCAGGAGTATAAACAACTAACGATAGGTGGATTCCAAAAAATGACTGGAATTTTTCCATTAGAGCCATTAGACCTACACCCTTTCTCCCGTACTCATCATAACCCTGGCCTACTTATTCTAAAGGTGCATACGAACTGGCATAGTCGTCAAGTGTTGCTCGAAGAGCTGCAGTCCGAAATGTCCATATTGTTGTTCAGAGAGTTCGCAATCCTTCAGTATCAAAGCCACCCGCATTTATTTTTTCTATAAGTGCCTGTTGCCTAGGGGATCCCTTTATCAAGTTAATGATTTTACAGAGAAATCCAGACAATCACGTACCGATTTTGATTATCTTGAAGACATAGGTTGAGACAATGGACAAGACAATGTACAGGTAAAGCAGCTGGAGCCTCATCTTGTAGTTGTTTTTCAACGCCTTTTATACAACCTTGAAAATTAGATGCACCGTCGTAGGCTTGTCCTCGAATATTTTCAAGGGGGAAGTTCATTCTTATTAATGCGTCTTTAAACGATGAAAAAGCGGTTTCAACTGATGTGTCAGGAAGTTGTATCAACCCAGGAGAATCTTCCAAATCTCGTAATTTTCAGATATCCAGTTAATACAAAATACCAGTTGTTCGCGATTTGCGCAATCTCTTCTTTCATTAGCAGCAATTCTGAACCAAGTTCATCAACAAGAAGTTTTCGGAGAATCGTACGAACCGTTAACTCAATTTGTTCATTAACAATCACTGGGGACAGATACTGACCATCTTTCAACCACTGTTCCCAGCGCATACACTGCTTAAAACGTTGATATACAGTGCCTTGCAAAATTATTCACCCCTACCAATATGTCACATTTTGATGAAATACAAATAATGTAAATAATGTTTTAATGAACTTGATTTTATTCAAAACTGTAATAAAACCTAATAAAAATATACGAATTATGGCAACTAACCTCTAACTTAGATGTTTTTAAAATTCAACAAGGACTTCAAAATGTTTACGTCAAACTAAGTATATGTACAAACTAAGATGTAAAATGATCTAAAAATGTAGAATTCAAGCCAGCCCTCGTGAATATTGGAAGTATTATATACATATATAAGATAACAATATAAAATATAGTTTTGTTGCTAAGCTACACAAACGAACCTAGCGTTACCAAAAGACAACTACCTTTTATATACATTAGATACTAGCTGGAGTACCTGTGCCCTGGACGGAACTTATGCAAATTCGTAATTAATGAAAGGTTATCTTAGGACATGAAAAGTTGCTTCCCTTATATTTAATTGTAAAAAAACGCAAAAACGCCCATAAAAACTGCAAAACACAAAATGTGAAATCGTAACTTTCCGCATATACCCAGCAAACATTCATGCCAGATGTGGTGTAGATCCATCTACGGGGGGCGAAGTAGTGGTAAAAACGCAAAAATTCCCATAAAAACCGCAAAATGCAAAACTGAAAATTTGTATATATATATATATATATATATATATATATA